TACTGCTGCCTTGATGAGTTACTTTGTTCGTGTTAATGTGTGACCTTGGCATTTAAAAGGGTTTAGGGTTAGATAACACAAACTAACTAAATGATAGAAGCAATGGTATACCAGTACCTCCTGTGTTCACTTAGTCAAAATTGCTGTTTTTGTCAATGAAGTTTGGGGGCTTTGACGCGAGCATACATGGGGAACTGAAGCCATTAACGACTTTCCTGTTGGAATGGGCTGTACATCCACAGCAGTGCATTGCTTAGCTTCCGTGTCAGTACTCCTGCTGCTTCTCAAAACTGGGGGCATGCCGACAGACACCTACTGTATGTAATAATAATAAAAATATGAATGCATTTTATTGATAGAGCGCTTTTCATGGTACTCAAAAACACATACATTTGGTAAAAACGATCACAAAAGACAATACAATAAAATACACACAACATCATTCACACATTAAAAAGACGTTTTGAAAACATGAGTTTTGATCAAGCAGCAACCTCCAGAGATGACGAGTGAAGCCAATGTGGAAGTGCCAAAAACTGCAGTTCATTGAATGGCCACTTGAGGCAGGCTCCAAAAGCGAGTCCATCTCCATAGGCCCCCATGTTAAAATGCTCAACTTTACAGCAGAAATAAACTGCTCTGTTTAAATTTTATTAAGGCTTAAAGTTGTGCATAATTAAGGGCCTGGTCACTTTGAGTGACAGGTGGCGCCATCATGGGTGGATAACTAGCTGCTGGCTGTCTGCTAGGCATCATCTCAGCTAATTCGGAAGTCATTGAACCTGACCTCACAGCCGTGTTTTTGCCTTTTGGATATTTTGTTTCGTGAGGGAGCTGGCACAAAGGGGGAGCATGAGCAGGAGCAGCCAACACCACAGGGCTAGCCAACGTAGCGTAGCTTGTTAGCCTAGCTTGTTAGCCTTAGCTAACTTTGCAGCTTTGAGCGAGGTGGGTGTGTTTAAGCATCCAGGCTTCATTTGGCCCACCTCTTTGCCCATTTTTGATTGGCCGGGAGTTGGGCGGAGTCAGGCACTGCCAAGATGGCAACAGCCAGAGCCGCCTACTTTGAGCTTCAAACCAGCTCCTCAGAAACCAATGGGTGACGTCCATATTTTTATACAGTCTATGGTTTTGATAAGTGATTTGAATCGGGAGACGTCGGTGCAGTCTCAAATGTGTTTGGGGAGAGAGTTCCAGAGGTAGGGGGTTACTATGGTGAAGGCACCAGGTCCAGAGCTTAGTCTTGAGTGGTGGACTCAGGAGGTTGGCATCAGAGGAGAGGAGGCTGCGGGAGGGAGTGTGGTGGTGGAGCAGATCAGTGAGGTAGGAGGGGATGTGGTTATGGAGGGCTTTGTAAATGAGGGGAAGGACTTTGAATTGGATGCGTTTTGGGACAGGGAGCTAGTGGAGGCTCTGAAGGACAGGGGTGATGTGATGTAATACAGTGACTGGAGGTAACGCTCCATATTACCCACTTCAAAAAAAAATCTGAACTATTCCTTTAAGTTATTACCAAATACCACTATCTCTGATCAACCCTGAGAAGCAGGTGATGATTTAGTGAATTCTTTAAGGTTTATTTGGCGGTAAAGGATGAACCATGCGAAAGATATTCTCACTCAGTTCTTTCATCCAGAAGCTAAACCAAAGGGGTCAACCAAGAATCTTCTAGGCAGCTGCAAACATTCTTCAAGCGGCTCAAATTCACTTTTAGATCACTCTGCACTATTATATTTTATTAGGTTTAATTTGACTTTGGTGTACACTACTAACTGTTCTGCTGAATCCTAAAAACAGAAATCTCTCTCTCCTGACTGCCACAGAGGCCACACCCTCCAAAGTGGTTCTTGTTTTAGCAAACACACAAAACAACCAAACAAAAATGTTTTCCCCCTAGTAATTTTCTGTGGAATTCACGATGATAATCTAAAAAACCCGCCTGCTCAGCCACAGTGGCTGCTGTCAGTCCTGCAGCTCTTTCAAAGAATCCCCTCAATTTTAATCTCCTTTTCATTAGAAACTGAAAGGGTATAATCTGTTCCATAAATATATATATAGTATTTGTTTGTCTGTATTGACTTTCAGCTGCTTTTCTTGGTCACACTGAACCAGCAAACTGTGACTGTGGTCTGTCGGATTGAAGACAGCTTAGCAACTTAGTATTTAAATCGAGTTATATCTGAGAAGGCTTCATAGAATAATCTCTGCTCTTTTTAACTGTGTCCAAATACCATATAGCCTACAAACACTGTATTAATGTTGACAGTCAATATTTTGGCAGCCGGTACACAAAATGTAAATTTGAAACACATGCATTCAACTTTTCCTGGTACCATTGTCCCTTCATTTCCATTGTGCTTTGTATTGTGAGACAATTGTCTCAATCAATCCACACTCAAAAATCAAGTGGTTTGACTTTGACTTTGATCATAGCACATTCTCAACCTATTTGCAAATTTGAACAAAGGAATTGATGATACTGAATAGGAAAGGTTCCTCCCACTACGATTGGTTCAGCCGAAACTTTAGCCCAGGTGTAATTACTAACATAATGGCTGCATGCCGTTCAGGTGTGTCATTCTAGGGCCCTGGCATTTTTACATGCTGGCTCACTGTTGTGGCTTACTGGGGCGCTTAAGTAGCATATGGCCATAATTAATGTAATTAGTTTCACCTGTGCTTTTCCTGCTTTGACAAACCAAAAGGCCCATTAAATAAATTATTCATCCAAAACACATCAGCCTTTTTTTAAACTTTGAAAAGCTCTGTGGAAAACTCAATGTGGACTGCAGCTCCATTACTTTCATGTCATAGCAAACATACCTTAACAGTGAAGTCACTATTGTTTTTATTTGTTTACCATGGATACTGATCAGTGACACAGTGCTGAACAAGAAGAAAGGTTTCGATATTGTAACCCTAGTTCTATTAGCACAGGCAGAGCCTTTACAGGACTTCATGGTAATACTGTCCTCCAATTACAAGCATGCATTCGCCCACTGAAATTTGTATAAACATAGCCGGCCAATCAGGACTTGCCTACTCGAATGTGTGTGTAGCCCACAGTATACTTCATAGGCATCTGCTATCCTACACCCTCTTCAGCTAGCGATGTAGGTGCGACAGTTCTTCTAGGTCGAGCGCTCAGCCTGTGCCAATAGAAATAGGGTTACAATATTGTAACCTTTGGTTTTTTTTCACACAGGCTCCGCCCTCCACTGGACTCTATGAGTGCAGGGGGTGGAACCCGATAAATAAACACCCTGTCGGGACATAACATTGCTAACTACTACATAGGCATCCACTATCCTACACCCTCTTCAGCGACAGACCCCCTAGATAGCCGGTGCTAATCGAACTAGGGTTACAATATTGTAACCTTTGTTCTATCTCAGACAGACTCCGCCCTTCACTGGACTCTGTGGGTACACTGGGTGGGACCAAATAAATGAATGCCCTGTCAGCACATAACACTGACCCAGCCACACTAATCCTGACTGGCTAAAGTCCCATTTATGCTCCCTTTACGTACGAAAATGTATACGTCCATTTCAAACGATGTTACTGTCACTGCCCACATACTTCCATGCATCCTTTACGTTGGCATGGATGTTAACCAATATATCCACCAGGGGGCAACCCAGAGTCAAAAGTTTATGACAACAACAAACTCAAAAACAAACATGGCGACTGTGGAGGAGATATTGATAATGTACCTCTTGCATAAAAGACAAAAACAGAGGCAGCGTTGAAGGAGGCGGTGGTCGGTGAGGCTGTTAAATACATCGCGACTGGAGGACGGAGAATTATTTCTTCTTCCTGTCTCACTAGAGCTATGTATCAGGTAGTGACAGCAACACTGCCCCCATGGTTTTCGGTGGTACTGCTCCGTTTGGCCCGTATCCGTAAGCTTCATGGAAATGTGCAGAAATACGGACCAAATGAACGCGGAGCACGGACGGAAGGCTCCGTCTGTATCCGGGTCCGTATTTAACGTTGAGCATAAATGGGCCTTAACAGTTAGCTGCAGTAGCCCGCCTACTTCTTTACAACCTAGGGTGCTGTAGCAGAGAAGTAGGGGGCCCAGCCAACCCAGGTAATATGCAACCAAACTGGTTGGAGCCATGGCCTAACCTCACAAGGGTCAGAAGACAGTGGGAAATTGCTGTCGCTGAAGAGAGAAAGAGAATAGCAGATGCTGTCATATGGCTCTTATTTATACTGTGGGCTCTGCATGTATTCAGGTAGTCTAGTCTTGATTGACTGGCTATGTTTATGCAAATTTCCATGGGCAAATATGTTCTTGTGATTGTGGAGAGTATTACTTCTAAGGTCCAGTAGAGGGCAGAGCCTGTGTTAGCTGTCCTTTTGTTTATATGTAAAATAATGATCTAAACATTTACTTGGTCGTAAAAATTAACCAAATGTCATAAAACAGTGTCACACTGCCCTTAAAACTTGCACGTTGTAATCGTCACTGTAAGTTTGGATGTGTCCTGTTGTACTGTTTTCATTGCAATTTACTGTGGGGTAAGATATTAAAATGCTAAATCAACAAGCAAGCAGCCAGTAGCTAAAAGCAGCAGAGCTATGTAATATCTGTTATTTGGAAACTGTGTGTTATTTGGTAATATTTTCCACTGGCATCCGTTCTTGGCTATTAGCAGAAAATACAGAAAATGACCTCCATCCACAAACCTTCATAACGTCACAAGTAATCATTTTGTGGTTGACGTTAGAGAGTGTGTGTGTGTGTAATGAGGTATTGAAAGATACAGGCTGTGCGTAATAAGATTCTGTTGTTACTGGAAAATGTTGCTCTGTTTTTATGTTTAACTTTGCTCTATGACAACATTCAGAACTGACTTACAGCCTCAAATGGAATTGAATTCCTCAAATCCACAAGGAGGAAAACACATGAACATGTACATATACTGCATTATAAAACCATATAAAAATGACTTGAATCATTAAGCCAACAAAATTCGCCAAAATCACAGTCAGATTTAACATTAAATCTTTTTAATACTGTTCTTTTTCTCAGCATTCTGGCAAAAACAAAAATGTAATTGACATAATTGACAAACATTAAACAAGGAAAAAAAGACAAGCTTCCCTAAATAAACAGGGAAGGTTCTGTAACAAGCATGTTGAAAATATTTCAAACATTTCCTGCTCCTCTCACTGTCCAAAGCGATACAAAGAGTCTTCCAGTTGATATATTGTTGGAGAGCTGATATATGAGCATCTGTGTCTGTGTTTATGCTGGAATATTGACAGAACGAAGAAAGTAGAGAAGCCAGAGAATGGTAAGTTGATTTTGGACAGTGCTGGAGTGTAGTGCATGGACTCAATTATAAAGCAGACAACGTACTGTAGAAGTGGAAGTAAAACACACATGCACACACGCGCACGCGCACACACACACACACACACACACACACACACACACACACACACACACACACCTGAAAAAACTGATAAAACCCAGTCATCCAAGCTTTCTGCTGTTACTGTAGATCACCAAGAACCAAGGAAGGTCTTTTTAAAAACAGATTACATTACATTTCATGTTTCTTCATTTGTAGTTTGTAATGTAATATAATGCAATATCTTGTGAGACAACATAAAGGCCCTTTTGTTCTTGAAATACACATCAACATGTAATATGACACTACAAGATGTCAGTAAGGCTCTGCACGAATGTTGCTAAGGCACGTCTCTGTAAACCTATTATACTTTCCAAGTTAAGATTCTTTCTCATGAAAGGAAAAGATATATATAAAAAAGAAAAGTAACACTAAAAGCTTGTGACATTCCCAACCTCAGACAGGAAAAAAAGAACAAATACATCAGAACGGTGCACTTAGCCGGTGCATTTCACAGTCTGGTTGGCCGTAAACAAGCAAAACAGTCTCTGAACACACATGCCAATAATCTTTTTGTACCAAAACACAGTGGATGGTTGAAGTGGAGGCACAGGGAGCCAGAGAGAGGGTGTGTGAGAACAAACAGCTACAGGGGGACCCTGTCTAGACCATATCTCAGAAATGGTTCAGCCAAGAGGGAACTAGTGACTAAAACTCACTGACACTCACAGCAAGTTTCCTTGGAGCTCTTTGAACTTCCTTTCTTTTCTCGGCGCGCGTGTGCTGCTTTATAGGAGTGGGTTCTGTGGCAAAAAGGCCTTTGAACACAATTTTGGGAGCTCTGGCTGTCAAAAACAGTCTGTGGCTTGTCCTTATGTAGCGTTGGCAGACCTCGCAGAGAATATAAAGTGTCTGACACTTGATAGTTACATTCACTTGGTGAACTCCTCAGACATATTTTGGCGAACCTCATACAAAAACATTCTGTGCATGATGTAAAGAAAACTGTTTAAATTTAGTCTTTACATGAAAACTTTTTAGTAGTTATGTGATTATAGTTGGTTGTTTTAGTGCTTTTAGCTCAAGAATCTAAGCTAGTGTTTACTCATCACTCGCTGCAAGTAGCTCTGGAAAGTTTTAGCAACATGTAACCTTATATGCAAAAAGAAAATGATAGAATCTATGATGAATTAAGGAGGCTTTTTCAAGGGAGAACAATAAAAAAAAGTTTCAACTTGCAAAAAATAGCAACACTGTATGGACATCAACAGCATAAAACACAACAAAAATACAAAAAAAAAAAAAAAAGCACAACAAAAACAAAATATCATGATATAAACTAGACAAAACAGCTTTCCCATCACGGTGCAGAACAATGCCGGCAAAGTCCATTCTCAATGGCTCTTAATTCAGTCCATTTATCTTTCACAGCAAATTCATCTCTCACGGAGCCAAAAGCTTCGGGATGTGTGGAGAGAAATATGGTAGATCTGTTGACACTGAAGAATCCAACTTGAAGTTTTCTTTCAGATTAGATAATGTCAATGACGAAATATGATGTTGAGACAGGTCAGCCTATCACTAGCTTTGCAAAGTATTTTTTCAAAGTTTTTGTGTCTGCATTTCTTAATGCTACCATCAGTCTTTTGGCAGTTCGTGACTGGGACACTGGAAAGGAAAAGAAATATTTCTTTTCAGTGCAAGTTTTTTTTAATAATCCCCATGGAGCAGTTGGAGTTGGTCGAAAACCCATTTAGTACCAGGACATGAGGTCCAGGAATCACACATCTGCATCACTGTTTTCATTTAAACCACTGTCACTTCCTCCAGTTCTGTAGCCCAAACACTGGGGCACTTATCCCCATTCTGTATCTCTCAAATCCAGCAACAGGATTACAGCTCATTCGTATAGTTTCTTTTATATAAACAAAGATTTCTTTTTAAAATGAGCCACTGGTTACAGCTGTTTCAATGCAAAAAGGCACTTCCGTTTTCAGTCTGCTACTAAGACCCTTCTATTCGATTGCACTTAGTTTAATCACTTAGTTAGGTTTCACCACCATTAAACTCTGCTAGATGACTGTAAACCACGTCCTGATCATTGTCCCACAGTGGTTTAGCACATTTCCAATATGCTGTAATCTTAAATTCATCTTTCAGTATTTCTAAAATAGATGATCCAGTCTGCAGTGTTATCATTTGGACAGTAAGTGCCACTTTTCAAATTGTGGATATCTGATATTGGAATGAAGATTTGATTTTTAACCACTAAGTGAGCCATAGCAGGATCTCCTGATGGGCAAGCCCTCTCTCTTCAAAATCTTTCCAAGTGTATTTTATTGCATTTTAGAAATATGATGGCTTTAAGGATGCTAGATTGTTATTTGATGGGCAGTGTCCTTGCATCAAGGGAACTTCATAGTCCAAACCTCCATTTTGCTGCAAAGATGGAGGCGGCTGAGGAGTGTGACAGCGGTCAATCTCAGGCTGTTTGTGGGGTAGTGTGCCATTTCCCCCATTCTCCAGGCTGGCCTTTATGCCCTCCAATTCCATGGGATCAGGATCTGCTGGGCCCAGCTCTAGCTCCATTTCTGCCTGGGCCTGCCTTCTCTTTCGGACACAAATGATTGTCCCAGCCACCACGGCCAACCCCAGCACCAGTGCCAGTGCAGCCAGGGCAGGAATGAGAGTGTATGTCAGCGGGCTCTGTGTCTCCACCCTGGACTCTGAAGATGTCTGTGGGATCCCTTCTGTGCGAGCCTCTGTACACGACCCTGTTTCAGCTGAGCTGTTTGCCCTAGAGTTGATTCTTTCACCCAGAGGACTGGCACAGACTGAGTAGGTACAGTTGGGTCTCAAACCACGCAAAGTGTACTCAGGGTAAGAAGCTGGTACACTCAGGATAATGGGGCGGCGGTCAGGTCCTGAGAGGTTACGATAGGTCAACCTGATGCCACGGATGTGTGGCCGTGTCTCAATGAAACGGTGCAAGTCAAGAAGGATAGATGTGGAGGTGACCTGCCGTGAGCTGATAGCATCGAGTTCAGCTGGCATTGCAGGGGCAGCTAGCAAAACTTCTGTTGCTGATGGTTTCGGTGGCTCAGGAACCTCATCCACATTTTCACAGTAGAGGCCAGAGGTCCCCGAGGGACAAAGACAGCTGAGTTGCCCCAGTGGGTCAAAATTACAGGTGCCTCCATTAAGGCAGATATTTGGTGGGCAGATGTGCTCCCCTATCTCTCCACTGGTGGAACTTGGGGAGACTGGAGGTTCTGGTGAAAGGGGGCTGTCTGTTTTTGAGGACACGGTTGCCTCACTGGGTGGAGGAGGAGGGGGAATAGCATTGGTATGGATGGTGTCTGGAGATGTGGTGGGCATCTGGGGAACAGGAGTACTTCCAATGGGGGAGCCAATCAGCACTGTGGTGGTAGGTGGACAACCGAAATCTTTGTGTTCCAGCGCTGAAAGCATTTTTCCAGCATTGACTAGAGGGAAGTGACACCTGGTTTCCTCAGGCCTCCCAAGATTCACGTCTTTCTCTTTTAGCCAGACAGGGAACCAGGCTAATGGACACAAGCAGTTAAATGGGTTCTCAGCTGCTGTCAGTTGACCCAACCTAGGGAAGGTCTGGAAGAAACTCTGAGAAAATCCCTGGAGATTAAGTCCACTTAGATCCAATTCTTGAAGTCCACTCAGTTTCTGGAAGTCCTCCACCTTGAGCTCACCCAATGGGTTGGCAGCCAGGCTGAGCTTGATCAGCCCCTTGAGGGAGTCTTGTTTTAGGGCCTGGGGAACCTCAGTTAACTGGTTTGTGGAGATGTCGAGCTCATGAAGGTTCCCCAGTGAGGCTATGAGATCCTCATCCACAGATGTAAGCCCCAGAGAGGCCACTTTAAGGGCCTCCAGGTGGGGAGTCTGGAGGTCTGAGGGTCCCAGGGTTGGGATGTTGTTGTAGCTCAGGTCTAGAAGCAGAAGCCTGGGGAAATGAAGGGATGGCAGAGAGGTGAGCTGGTTCCCTTGGAGCTTGAGTTCCAGTAGCATCTCTAAACCATCAAAAGCTTCCAAATGGATGCTCTGAATGCGGTTTGCGTGGAGATACAGCCTCTCTAGTTGGACCAACCCAGAAAAACTGCCTTTGGAAATGTGTGTAATTTGGTTAGAGGAGAGGTCTAAGTTTTTCAGCTTTGCCAGCATCTCAAACACACCATCTGGCATCTCTGCCAGCTCGTTCTGGCTCAGGTCTAGCAACTCCAACTCCCCCAGGCCTTTGAAGTCATCTTGGGACAAAGTGTCGATGCCATTCTGGAAGATGTATAAATTTTGTGTGGTGGCTGGGACACGAGGCACAGTGCTGGAGCGTCGTTGAATGCAGAATATTGAGTCCTGGCCCATGCAAGAACAGTCAGCCGGGCAGTCAGAGGATAACACCAGACCAGATGAAAGGAAGAGGAGCAGGAAGTAAGGCAGCATGGTGACGTCAGGCCTTAAACCCTGAAAGACATAAGAGAGATGAAAAATGGTTGGTGTTAATCACTGTTGGCTTATTAAGTGTGTCTCAATTAAAGTGTGGCTTTACAGAAGAAACAAATTGAGACATAATGACATCATTACTGAGGAATAAATGGAAGTTCTGTAAGAATTTTTTCTTAATCTAATTCCTAAAGCTATTCACTCAAAAATAAATACCAGAGGACTTTTGTTTATTACCCGTACACCTTGCCCAATCAACAAACCTTAGCTTCTACATGTATATAAACAAACAGTAACAACGACTGCTCCATCATAGTGAATTTGCTGTTTTCTGTCCTTGATCAGCAGACACCCCGGGGATCAGGACCCACAGCCCACCCAGGGTGACCCTTCCTGAGTGAGAAAGCCATTCAGCCTCTTCCCTGTGTTTATGACATGGTCCTTAGCCCGTGAAACCCAGTCTGCAGTAACGCAGCTCGGCACTCGCAGCACCACACGGCTTCTACATACAAACATATCCAAGGTAAATATGCTGTGTGTGTTGCACATGCACTCTCGATCACATATTTGCCTCATTGTGTTACCAAAACCATGGGCAGCACATAGAGGAATGCAGGAAATTAGGGGGCCGCCACATGACTTTGATTGAAGGTAAAGAGTCACGATTACAGCACAAAGTTTTATCAACCAAACGGCCAAACACAGAAGTGGATCAAACATACAGACATTCCCTGTCTCTCCTCCTTCTTTCCCAACTTCATTTTCCTTTTAGTTCTGTCTATGTAGATGAAGAAAAAAGTAGGGTCAATGAAACAGTGATTTAGTGCCTTTGGCTACAACGGGAGTAGTACTGTGATAAATGATGTGATGGACTTCGCTGTGCAAGATGATATTTTGTTCCTTTTCCTTTTCTTGTCATGTAATGTGAATTGGCTATTTTCTTACTCTAGAGAAAAACCATCCATGTGTTTCTACCTGCATATGAAGCAATACAATATTGTGCAAATACTGTGCACTTGGCTGGTATTTGTTTTATTTTTCGGCAAAAATGATTCAGTCATATGTTGAGATTGCGTCTGGAGACTGTGACCTTCAACTCCAGACCAGTTGGAGCCCCAAAGGACCTTTTTTCCAACTTGTTTGATCTGGATGGGTTATTGTGGTGTGAAATGCTCCAAGAGCCACAATGACTGAAACTTGAGAGTGACCCTGGCAACAGTCAAAGGGAGTTTGACTCAGGCCGAAAAAGATAAAAACTAATGAAAATTAAGAGTCTTTGGAATATCATTTGCTGGAATAATGATAGAAATGTGGCAGAATTTTCAAACCCTTGGAAACTGTATTGTCCCTTCCATAGACTAAGAGATGGTAGATAGTTTAGTGAGGATTGTCTTCGTGTGCATTAGGCTGCATCTTTGGCGTTTTGCCTGTTGCCAATAGTTCCCTGACCATCTGTCATAAAGTGGTCCCCTTTTTCTTCTCACCTTCCCTCCCCCCCTCCAACCTGGCCTGTGTTGGTAAACTCTTGCACTCCTGCCCTTGCCAGGACTCCTGAGGTGGAAGTTGAGGAGAAACCTAAGATGTTTTATTAAAGTCAGGGGTGCACCTCCGGCCCCATGTCTCCGTTCCCTCTCTGCCCTCTGTCTCCTCCATTTATCCCCCTCTCCTCATAACATATGAGGTCAGAGTCTGTCAGCTTGACAAGAATTTGCAATACTCTCTCAAAAACTGTCTTTATTAAACACAAATGGAAGAGAGGGAGCGGAAAGTACAGGACAGAGAGGTTGACTATTGACAGAAAGAGCAAACACAAGTTTTTTTGGTGTTTTAAGAACCAAAACTGGGACTTCAAGAGCAGTTAATATCAACCAGAACCTACCAGTCTGAGAATTTTGTTGTCCAGTCTCGGCGGCACATTTGAGAAAGATCAAACCTCTATCCTGTTAGTCACACAACTAAACAATAAGTGCCATGTCTCGACTTGTTGGTCTGCAAATACAAGCTCTCAGCATGTTTCTAATGCTTTTCTTTGTTTTATACAAATCAACCACTGACTCTAACAGATGTGTGGCAAGAAGGCAACAGAATGAGGTGGAATACAATGGGTTTTTGAGTGTGTAGAATAAATCTCTCTCAATCTGCCTGTTGTAAACCACAGAGTGATGTCTGTTTCTGAAGTGTTTTGAATCAGCGTACAAGTAATTAGGTAACTGTTGACACTTGTTGGTGCAGTGTTACTCTGTTTGGGCCAAACCTTAAAAAATGGCGGGAAAATCTGTTTAGGTGGAAATGTCTTATACTGACTGATACATCTTGATCCAAAAAGCAGCATTAGGCCCCCAACTCCTGAAATATTCCACAGCTTAAGAGTTATAAACAAAAACATTGAGTGCTTTAACACGACCACATGGTGGTGCTTTGGCAAATGTAACGACTAATAAAAGATCAAAACAGCGAAAAATTTAAAAGCAAACTGCAGTGCAAAACTGTGCTGACACAGTTCATACAGTTCAGATACACGCTGAATTAAACACAGACTCTTGTTGATGCCACAACTCCACCAGTTTCTCCTCCTTTTCCACACAGGAGAACCGAGACTTGTTCATGTTCTTACACCTCCTGGAATCCCGTCCAAGTTTCCTGTCTACCCAGTTTGCTGCTTCCTGTTTGGTGCTGGAGAGAGCGCAGCTATTGGTTGTTGACAATGTTCACGTCTTTTAACTTCAGCGTCTGCATGAGCCAAGATTAAAACTTGTGATTACATTAAACATGTTTCATTTTGTCAGAACATAAAGACGAGAAAAAGACCAACCTTAGACAGATCAAACTTTTACGATCACCTTACACTAAACAATCGAGACCAGGAGATCAGCAACCTACTGATGTAAAACTTTCATGATTTTGATACAACAGTGGAATTTTGTCTGCAAAAGTAAAATCGCTTGAGAAGTTGTTTGGTCTAAAGCTGGCAGAAGATGCATATAGGACCACAGTTGGCTCCCAAACTTGTTGCAATATCACAACATCCTGATTGTACGTGCAAAACTGCATGAAATGTAAATACAGAGAAACTTTTCTCCCTCAGCAGATGAATGTGAAAACAGCCTTATAGTCAAACGTTTGCACATTTATCATTCTGCACAGTGAAGCTCAGACATCCAAGTGAAGTAACTAAGTATTTGATGTGCAGAATCAGATACTGTGTCCTTCTCACATGTTCTGCTACAATCCAGATGCAACTGACTTCAATATGACTAAGACTGTCTTCAAGTGTTAGCGCGAGTGCTACTTTTAGTCTGTGTGAAGTGATGAGTGAAGATGGCAGAACCGCCAACGCAAAAATTGTTTGCTGACACATCAGCCAGAAGATAAAGCGCTGTTATCATCGCCATTATTTTCTCTAAGAATCATGCAAACAGTGCACACCTTGATGCACACACACATAATGAAGTTGTCTGCAGTCATACAGCATGCTCCACTGATGACAAAGCATTATGCTATGACAGGGCATACGACTGCTTTTGTTTGGAGGTGCATGTCTGAGGTTAAAGACACGCTCTCCTGCAGAATCCGGATCTTTCTTTGTGTGCAGTCATTTACTGTTTATAGAACAGTAACAGGGTTATAATAAGAGCTGCTCGTCATTCCTTTAAGGGTGCTGCTGCAGACACACTGGCTATGTTAATTTGATGACAGCAAAGGAGAGGAATGAATGGAATATAAATGAAGAAATAGTTGTGTTGTAGAGCTGAGAAAGAGAAGCTAATCGTGCATATAGGAGTGCTTTGCTTGTGACGGTTCTTACAGTTAGTACATCACATTTAAAAATGAACACAACAGGTTTCAACTCTCTATAAGAGACTTGTCTGCAACATCAAATCCCAAGTAAACTGTGCATGTGTCTCGCAGCTTTGCTGTTCCAAAGGGCCTGTGTCAGGACATGCACTGTAGTAAACCCTCCTGACAGCATGTGTCAGTTGCAGCTTCTCTGCAAGTCTAATTCAGGAAAACACACTGCCGGGTGCTACACACACCTGGGTGGTAAGGTAGAGACACCTTCACGCTTCAGGGCTGCTGCTCTGTGGCTGAACCTGACCTCTGATCTGTCTGACAATTCTTTTTCCAAGTTCAGAAGGCATCTTCTTATTTGAGCGAGTTTTAGTTTTGATAGCACTGTCATCTGTTGATGTCATCAAAATATCATCTGATGGCCTGTGAGTTTGTTCCTAGTGACCTTATTACATGATGAGAATAATTAAAACATTGAATGCATTGTCTCTTTCCATGTGAAATTTGGCACAGTGGTAGAGGGTCATGGGAGGATGCGAATGAAGCAATATTACATCAATTGGCCAAAGGGGGGCGCTATAGCAACCGACTGAAATTGCAAACTTTGAATGGGCATATCTCATGCCCCATATGTCGTAGAGACTTGAAACTGCACAGAGATGCCTCTCCTCATGAGGAACAAATTTGCCTCAATAACCCATAACTTCCGGTTCTACAGATTTTCCGCCATTTTGAATTTTTTGAAAAACACTTGATCTCTCTCAATTGATCTCTTCCTAGGAAGTTTGACCGATCTGCATGAAACTGGGTGAACATAATCTAGGGACCAATATCTAAAGTTCCCTCTTGGCAAAAGTTGGAAAACTTACTAAAACTGAGCTTCTATAAGGCAATGAATATTGCGGAGGGCGTGGCTCATCACATAAAGGTGTATAACATCTCAAGTGTTTCACCGATCACCACGCAACTTTGTAGGCATATGACCACACATAATCTGAGGCTAAAATGCAACTGATCGCTGTGGCTCCCCCTGTGGCCCAATGCTTTGTTTTTTTTTCTAATTTTTAGTATGACTAAGTCATGGTATGGTATGCTGTACATAATAATGGAAACTGTCAGTGTGTCATTCTGTCTGTCCCACGTTTTTCTACTCACTGACGTGATCAATCTATGTGAAACTGCACATAGGCATTGAGGATTGGCATAGGTAGAAGGTGACAAAGCTACCAATG